CATATTATTCACTCGGATAATAACGTATACCAGCAAACCAGGCGACCGTACGATACACAAAGGTGCTTGTCATTCACAGGATTTTCATGGACTTTCAAAAAAATATGTTTGAAACTTAAATTTCTCTGAAGCATGCTGGTGGAGAACGATACAAAAATGTTTTAAATTTTAGCATGTGGGTCTGAATCATTTCATCAGCGCTAAGTGGCAGCAGCAAAACACACATTTGCAAAGTGTGGTCAAAATGTCGATGCTTTATTGCGTCGCTGACATGTTCATGTCCGTCTCCAGGTGGCGCACTCGTGGAAGTCGGGGAAGCCATGAAGAGAATGGCGGAAGTCAAAGACTCGCTAGACATTGACGTCAAACAGAACTTCATCGACCCGTTGCAAGGCCTCTGCGACAAGGACCTCCGAGAAATTCAGGTTTTTTTTACCCGATGTGACGCGCCGCATTTCACGACGGGGGTGCGCTGTGGCGTCATTCTGTGATTCCGTCGGTTTGCAGCACCACCTCAAGAAGCTGGAAGGTCGCCGCCTGGATTACGACTACAAAAAAAAGCGGCAGGGCAAAATTCCCGATGAGGACATCCGACAGGCCCTGGAGAAGTTTCACGAGTCGAAGGAAGTCGCGGAGACCAGCATGTATAACCTGCTGGAGACCGACGTGAGCTCTCGCTTATTCACTTAAGCGTACAGTTGGACTGGCATTCGTGATGATGTTTGGTCGGGACACCGTGTTGTGTGTTTGTGAGTAGATCGAGCAGGTGAGCCAGCTCTCGTCTCTGGTGGAATCCCAGCTGCAGTATCACCGGCAAGCAGTCCAGGTCCTGGAGGAGCTGTCTGACAAACTCGGAGAAAGGTGTGGTAACATACCGCCTTGTGTATACAACTCGCACACACGTGCGCATACACTGAGCTTCAGGAAAACATGATGGCTGCACTTAGTATTGATCTAGCAGTATCATGCTAACGTAGGTTCACACTTAAAAAAAAAAAAAAAAAAAAAAAAAA